TTGGCTGTTTTTCTGCTGGTTTTGTTTTCTCTTTCTTTGAAGCTAATAATTTGGTGACTTTCATTTGGAACTTGAGAAACCATTCTCCTCTGGACATAAAACCGAATTGTTTAGTTATACTGAGGAGAATTTCAAACAATATACATTTAAAGTCCTTTGGGTCACAAATCATCTGATACACGACTGTGGTTCAAACATCTCTGTTTCCTCTGAAAACACAGTGAAGTTAACTAAGAGACCAAGTAACAGTTGGTTAATGAAAGGAAAAACTGTCTGGGAAAGACTAAGACATCCTATGCAAAAGAAGAGACTTAAAGTTTAAAAAGATCAAATGGTCTGAGTACAGTGGTGAATACCTTTAATCCGCATACTCTGGAGCAGAGGCAAGAGGATCTGCGAGGTCAGGGCTAGCCTCATCTATTGAGTGAGTTCCAGGCCAGCAGAGGATACATAATCCCTATCTCCCCACCATACCCCCAAATCAAATGAACAAAGAAAACATAGAAAGAAAGAATAATGATGCAGAGATGTAGGAAGCCCAAAGATCCACAAAATGGTCACTGTAGGTTGCAGCATATCGTATCAAGGTGAGGGACAGAAAAAGGAAAGGGTAAATAAATTAGTTTATGCAGTGGGGATATTTAATGGCTCTTATGACAGGTTTTCAGTGCCAAACTGGTAAATAATGAAAATGAGACCTTTCTCCAGATAAGGGACGGTCCCAGATTACATTGCCAGTATGTAGTGAGACAGCCACCTGGGTAAACTCGTGTGTGGACCACGTCGCACCTAAGCGGTGTTGCACATATTAATCAGATGGCACTACCCCTCATCTGAGTTTCCATTACCTGCCCTACTTGGTGCCAATTTCCTTTCTCTTCCTCGGCACCCCTTCTTCGCTGTTCTTTAAGACATGGGATGGGGATTTGTCAAAGTCAATGAGCACTTTATTACAGTGAGAACGTTCTGTAATGAACAATTCAGCGGTTTAATGAGATTCTGGAGATCTGTCTCCAGCCTGTCCGTCAAGTTTCACTTCTGTAAAGCACCCTGACACTAATCCTCTGGCAGACCCAATCTTTACCCTGGGCTGAATATTAGATTCTTCCATGGTATATTGCATTACTAGTATAACCTCAGCAAAAAAAAAAAAAAAAAAAAAGATGAACTTAACTCTACTTGAGGCACTATAGTTGATCTGATTTGATTTTTCTCTATTGAGTATGAGGGAATTACTTATTTGCTAAGATAAAGCAAAAACAATTTCTTATTGCCTACTGAATACCTAAATTGATAATATTTATGGAAGTCTTTTAATTCCTTCTCGGTGATCAGGTCTAAAGAAACTATCTTATTGCCTGCAGAAACCAGTTTCTAAAATTCTACTTTATAATACTGTAGCCTTTAGAGAGGCAACTGTGGTAGCTTCTAAGCAGACAGAATGGAATTTTCCTGCTATACAGATTACTGCACATTACCGTGTCAATCTCTGGCCGTGCCTTCAACCACGGCACAATAGCCGACAGATGCCAAAAAAATGGGTGGCCTCAAATCTCAATCTTGGTAGGATAAAAAGCACAGAATCTAAATCTAGTCTGTATCTTTTCCCCTTAACAAAGGAAAGGAATTTGGCTACTTCGTACTCTGAGCTGGCCATAGTAAATCCTGATGCTTTGTATGATGGGGCAGGGATGTAGATTATTGAAATCCCTGCCAGAACCATATCCTCACCAGCACTAGCAACCACTACCTGAATAAACATTCCCCGAAATGCCCAGGAAGCAGCAAACACTTGGAACTGCTTTTTAAACCAAGACTGTGGACTAGTAAGTAGATGTGGTTGGTATCAGCAGACTGGGATTCAAAAGGGGCTCTGCCCTGTAAACTGGAGCCAAGTACAGAGCCTTGTTAAAGGATGGAGATGGAGTCAGCTGCTCCTCAGGCCTCTTGTGCTGGTAAGTCAATACGGTTTCAAATATCTGCGACCTGACTGGCCCTTATCTCTTACTTTCAATAAAAAGAACAACAGCTGCTGACTAAAATCCAAAGAAGGAAGCAAGGTATTTGGAAAGTTATACATCAGTAGAATCAGTGTTCAATGACACATTTGACCAGTGGTAGAGCAAGCAAACAAACAAACGTAACACAACTACCTGAATATGGCTGGTAAGATCGGAGTTTACTACCCTATCTGCCAAAAGAACACTGAACATTTCCTAGTATTTGTACAAGATAGCCATTTTTCATCCCATCCTGCAGGCACAGCATCCTCCAAGTAGCATCAAGATGTGTAGACAGTGCTGCAGAATGAGATAGACAGAGAAGGGAGAAAATGGGATGCACATTCCAAAGACTTTAGGCACAGAATTCAAGGACAGTCACTAGGGATGAGCAGAAGAGGATTTAAATTGAATAATCAACTTTCAAACAAAAAAACATCCTCCCTGTCCCCTAGACAAAGCAGTGACAGGATGTGAAAGGATTCTGGAGTCAGGGGAAAAGGAAGGGCTTGTGAAAGCAGTAAAGAATGCATAATGAACTAAAGAGGTTTTTTTTTTTTCCACTCTAATGTAGGAAGAACATTGAAGTCTTTCATTTGAGGTTTAAGCATCCATCTATTAGAGGAAGGAAGTGCTTCTGAAAATAAAGAGAGTAGGTATAGGAGCAATAGAGAGAGGAATAGCAGGGTCATGTGATCTGACCTGGGAAATGGGAAGGGGGGACTCTAAGGGGTAGTGGGGGAGGGAGATAAGTACAAAGGAAGGAGAGGATAAAATAACATAAGAACGTCAGGAAAAGTCATAGGGAATCATACTATTAGCTATCTGTCTTAACAAACTATAAAGCACATACATCTATGTATATACATATACAGTTTAAAAGAAATTTTCTCATCTTGGGAGACAATGCTCCCTCCAAGAGCCAAAGATCATCTAACAAAAGCCCTCACCCCAGGCATAAGAAGTCCTCTTTGGAGTGGTTGATCAGAATTGTTAAAAAGACTCCCAAACTCATAGGCTGTTTCTATTGCCCTTGCTTGTCCAAGATGTGGATGGTGAAGGCCCATATTGCTAAAGATACCATGCACCTCACACACAGAGACCAGAGACCCCTCAGTGGGAGCTGACCTGAATGCCTCCTCCTTGTGGACTAACTTTCAAGGCACCAGAAGGCTCTATGCAAGCTTCCAAAGGAGGGAAAGAACCATCACTACTGGCCATCCATGGAACTTATAAACCGTACATTGACAGTGTGGCAAGTTAACCTTAAAGGTGTACTTATGGACACCTGCCTTGGGAGTAACCAAGAACTCTCTAATTGGATTTACGATCCACTCAACAGCAGGAAAATCATGCCTGGTATTGGAAACCAAGGCTACTACCCAAGGCTCTTGTAGAGTCATGGATTTTGAAGGTGAACCTATCACTAACCGCTTTACTAAACCAACATAATCCTGAGCTACATTTTAAATATTTCTCCTTATAGCCACAGATAAGTGTAGTCCTCACAGTTCATCAAGGAAACTTCTCTTTACAACAGGTGGAGACCACTAGAGCCAACCACAACCAACCAAACTGCAGAGTTGGGTAGCCTAGTCTCAGTGGATACATCTATCAAATACCCCCACATCTAAGGCTCAGGGAACATTTTGGAAGGGGAGACAGTATGATTGTAAGAGCCATAGGATCAGGAAGCTTGCGATGAAATTCTGTCTCCTAGTAATGTCAGAAGCGACACCCGTAAAGCCTAACCAACATGACCACACAAACAAAGATGACAATACACATGCTCAAGTGAAAGCAGGGGAAAACCCACAAGGCCTCAGTCCTAGAAAAAGAACTATAGGCAATCAAGGGATGCTGAGAGCAGGAGAAATAGTCTTCCTCAAGGAAGAGTACACCAACTGATCATCCAGTACCAACTGATTAGCCCTGAAAACAAATATACAAGTAACATTATACAGAGCAAGCAGATTGTATGTAGGCACATATATGTCTCTCTCTGTGTATTTATGTGTATATATGTATATGTGTGTATGTATATAATATACTTATATGCGTGTAACAAAAATTAATGGAAAAAAGGTCATGGATTAGAAAGAGAGCAAAGGGATATATGGGAGGCTTTGGAGAAAAGGAAGGAAAAAGAGAAATAATTAAATTATATTATCTTAAAAATAAAAGAAACAACTTTTGAAAACAGTCCAAATTCCCTAGATATGCACACTATTGTTCTTAGGAATTTTTGGAATGGACTCCAAGTATTTAAAAAAAATCCCAAACATCCCAGAGTGCAACCATATTTAAATATTTGTGTTTACCTATGACATATAAATTTATCCGTTAACCTTCATATCATTGGCTTGTAGACAAGTCCTTCACCCAGACTTAAAACATTAAAAATTGCCTACTTCAAAACTTACTAATAAGTTATCCACAAATGAGTTAAAAACTCAAATGAAAAAGTTTATTTGAACTACTAAAAGCTATTTCTACATTTTTCTCATTTAGATAATTTTAAAAAGAAATTAAAAAAATATGAATGGTTTCTCCCCAAACCCTGAATTCTTTTTGTTTCAATGGCTTAAATATGTATAAAATTGTTTTACAATCAATTTTTCTCATATTAAACTTAAGAAACATTTTTGGTGTCAAGAGAAAATCCCTTCTCTTTTCTGGTTTACCCAGGTTTAAGGAAAGCACAGCACTGGGTTCATTCCCAGAAGAGCTGCAGACTGGCGGGTGCCCACCAATGACTGCAGACTGGCAGGTGCCCACCAACGGCTGCAGACTGGCTGGTGCCCACCAATGACTACAGACTGGTGGGTGCCCATCAATGGCTGCAGACTGGTGGGTGTCCACCAATGACTGCAGACTGGTGGGTGCCCACCAATGGCTACAGATTGGCACATGACTTGCCCACCGAGAAAGTTGTTGCACCTGAATTCTTCTCTTTCTGCTGATGTCATACCTTTCAGAGGCTAGGCAGCATGCCCTTACCTGCCAGATCTGCTCTTCGCTCAGGGAGGTCAAGCGGTCACTCTTGAGCACTTCCTGAAGCAGACAGTAGGGCAGTGTGAGAACGTCCTCCGGTCGACTCTTCAGGAGCTCCGAGAGGTGCTTCACTAGGAAATCAATCACAGCCTTCTCCAGCAAAGTGAGGTGAAAGAGGTCAGCAAGTCTGTACAGATCCAAGTAATTAAAGCTATTTAGTTCCTGGGTGCCAAAAAACATAAAAAAAAATTCTTAGAAATTCAGATAGAACAAGCAAGAAATTAGGTCACTCACTACCATTTTCATACTGGGTGGGGTGGGGCCATTAATATTACATATATGTTTTTCAAGGCAGGGTTTCTCTACATAACAGTTCCAGCAGCCCTGTAACTAGCTCTTGTAGACCAGGCTGGCCTTGAACTCATGGAGATCCACCTGCCTCTGCCTCCAGAGTGTTGGGATTAAAGGTGTGCATCACTACCGCCCAGCAGGGGCCATTAATATTAAGATAATTCCCCTACTCCAATTATAAGACTCTAAGTTTTCCTTCCTCCCAACCCATATTCTTTTTAAGATAACTTATTTTTATTTTATGTGCATGGGTGTTTTGCCTGCATATATGCCTGTATGAGGGATCCCTTGGAACTGGAGTTACAGACAGTTGTGAGTTGCTGTGTGGGTGCTTGGAATTGAACCCTGGTCCTCTGAAAGAGCAGACAGTGCTCTTAACTGCTAAGCTGTCTCTCCAGACCTTAAACACATCTTTACAATGGGATTTCCTGAAAGGATGTCCTCATTTTGCCAGCTGAAATGCTACTTTGCAACTTTTTAAAAAACATGTGGAAGTCCTTACCAATAAAGACTGTGAAGGCTCATGGGAGCCATTACGAAGGACGAGAAAGAAAGAATCTTGTGCTTTTTGCCTGCTTGCCCTCACCCTTCTTTTGCCCTTCATTGGCATTAATGTCTGCTTCTCTGGGATTCTGTTGTATACTGAAGATCAGCTGAGCACCCAGACTCATGAAGTGAACAACTGTTGAAATCTGGGACTTTCTATCGGTAAACAGTCATTGTTGGACTTGCTGAGCAATAGCCTGTAAGTCATTCTAATAAATCCCCTTGTGTAAACACACACACACACACAAACACACACACACACACACACACTATATCTCCAGAGAGCCCTGACTAATACAGGGACAATCATGCGTTTTACCTTGCCTGTAGTTTAGCTCTTTGTCTACTGAAGGTAATAGAAGAACAGTTAAGTGGGGATTGGGGACTAAGCACAAACCCATAGAGACAATGACTTTACATTGTTTGTGAAAGTTCATTCTCAGAATGTCTATAAAAAACTACTACCCATCCCGACTTAAAGGAGTTGAAAGACAAAATTTATATGTAAATCTTAGCAAAGGAGTTAATCTCACACAAAGACTCATGTCTTGAATATATATCAAATCCCTCTAAACATGGACCTTGTTTTGCTAGCCTTGAACATTCAGAACACCAGTAGCATTCCCTCCTACTTATTCTCAAAGTTTCTGCAGCCATGCTCTCAAATGTATGGCCAGGACTCTAGGAAACTAGCCACAAAGCTGTAGCCCCCAGGAACCCCTGTCACTGCACCTCTGTGAGAGCCAGGGTGGTACACACCTCTGTTGATAGAAAGTTTGCTTAATTAAGTAGAATAAGAATAATGGTATGCCAGATTCCCCTCATTCAGATTTCATAGTCACTAATATATGGTCAGTGTTTTGTAACAGCAGAAGGACTGGTAGATGCTATACGGCATCCGTATATTCTACAGAACTATTTAATTAAACATGATATATTTCCTTGTCCTAGTTTTCTAAGACTATTAAGAATTCTAATAATATTTTATTCTATTATATATAATTTCAAAATATTTGACATTTTAAATGGGTATTTTTAAAATCTGATACTTATTTAAATTTTCAAATATCATATATACCACAAGTTCATATGCTGCCTAGATCTGCTTGGGTGTAGGAACCCCCTGGAGCATGAGTGGCCTCTTAGGAGCCACATCCATAGAGTAAACTTATTCTCCCTGCCCTAACAGGCAATAGTTTCCAGTTGTGCCCCAATTAAGGGTGGGACTTCATGAGCCCCTTTACTATCCATGCTGAGATTTCAGCTGGTTTGATCTTGTTCAGGTCTTGGGCATGCCGTCACAGTTGCTGTGGGTTCACATGTAACAGTCCTGTCGTGCCCAGCAAACACTGTGTCACTACAGAAACTCACCGCACTGGCTCTAATAATGTCTCCCCACCTCTTCCATGACGACCACGTAGCTCTAAAGGAAGAATATGATACAGACGCCCCATTAAGGGCTGAGCACTTCACAGTACCTTATTCTCTTCATACTGACCAGTGTGGGTCTCCATGGTAATCACAATCTACTGCAAAAAGAAGCTTCTCTGATGAAACTACACAAATCTGGTGGGACAATAAAGGGGAGGCCCGAACTATAAGATTCTTTGTTGTTGTTGTTGTTTTTGTTTTTTATTTTTTATTTTTTTGAAACAGGGTTTTTCTGTGTAACAGTCCTAGCTACCCTGGAACTAGCTCTTGTAGACTAGGTTGACCTCGAACTCACAGAGACTCGCTTGTTTCTGTCTTCCGAGTGCTGGGATTAAAGGCATGTGCCACTACTGCCCGATCTACTATAGGACTCTTAATAGGTCTATTTGCCACCAAGTTGTAAAGGTCTCAGTGTTTTTCTTTAAAATGCTATTTATCAAAACAGATGACCACTGACGTCCGCTACAATGCAAACATCATACCTTTTACTCAAAATAGCCTAGCTTTTTATTCACATTTTATCAAAGGAATATATCGGTTACAGGGTTAGCTTTTCAGGTATACTTAAAATTGTTCTTCAAAGTCTCTTTCTTAAGATTGGTAGTTACAAGGCCATCAGGGGAGAACAGGAGAGTCTAGTGTGTATTTCAGGACATGTCTATGTGATGGAGGACATCTCTGAGTAAATTCACATAATTTAGAGCCTGGAGACTATTTTGGTGTCCCATAGCATTACTCTGCCATTCTTCCAAAACCTACTTTCCAACTATTTCAGGGGTATCAGGGTTCTGATTCAATGGTCAGTACCAGGGCACAAAGAGGAGAGTGGGTGGAGCAGAAACACCTACAGAGAAAAAGTGGTGGGCATGGAGCAAGTGAAGAAAACATGAATTGAATACAGAATGGCAATTGAATATACTTCATCATGGGTCTTTCTATCTTTATACACCCATTCTGGGTTTCTTCAAATTATAAGCCCACAACTTAAAAGTAGTCCACTTCAAAAGTACAGATAATTTAAAAAATTATTTTAATGTGGGATTTTAAATAACTGTTTTTTCTTTTTATTTAGTTTTTTTGATATAATTTGATAACGGTTTCCCTTACTCCTCCTAGATCCTTCCTATCTCCCTACTGTACCACCTCATGTTTACCTCTCTCTCTCTCTCTCTCTCTCTCTCTCTCTCTCTCTGTCTCTCTCTCTCTCTCTCTCCCTTCTCCCTTCCCCTCCCTAAGTAACAAAAACAATATTGTTTTTGTTATTTATTTTTATTCTCTTTCAGTTCAGCCTATGTGTACTTTGCACGTATGTATATAAATTTTTGTCTTTGTGTAGGCACATGTACTTTTGTGGTGGGTGCATGTATAGGTGTGTATGTGTATGGCAGCTCAAAGTTGATGTTGGGAATCACCCTGAATCACGTGTCCATCTTACTCATTGAGGCAGTCCTCTCCCAGTGACACCCTTAACTCCCCAATATGCCTAGTCTCCCAAGTCATCTTGCTCTGGGACCCCAGCTTTCCTTTCTAAGGCTGCAATTACAGGTAAACTGCCCCAGCCATTTGACATTTATGTGGGTTTTAAAAATCCAAACTCCAGTCAGTACTCACACTTGTCTGGAAAACACTTTAACTACTGGGTCCCTATGAATAAATTTGCATGTATATATGTGTGTATTATATGTGCACATTCATGTGGGTATACGCATGCACATGTGTGTGCATGCATATGTATGCTTGTGAAGACCAGACGCTCATGTTATGTGTCTTATTTGATCTCTCTCCCCCTTATTTTTTGAGATATGGTTTTTGCTACACCCGGAACTCAACAGTGTGGAAAGACTGGCCAGCCACTGAGGTCTAGGGATCCAGCTGTCTTCCCTACAATACCGGAGACAGATATAGCCAGGAATGCACACTTTTCATCTGGATGCTGGGGATACAAACCCATGCCTCAGTCTCACATAGTAACCATTGTCTCAGTCCCACTGAGTTTTCTTTCAAGGTAATTCTTTAATCTTCTTCAGGACTATATTAATAAAAATCCAAAAATGATGTGCGATGAATAACTAAATAGCACTACTCATACGGAAGGCCACGTGTACCTGTCTGTGTATGAGAGAAACAACAGTTTTGAGATAAAGAGGCTCTGAGCTCCATCTTTTCATTGCTCCTTAAAAACAATGTCCCCAAACCTCCAGTGCTTTCTAGCTATGTCAGAAGCGTCTGCTCACCTTTCCATACATAACTTGTGAGCAGTGGGAAGGTGAGGGGAAGAAAGAATCCACCTCCCTGAGACCACGATGCCATAGCACACACCCCTCCTATTGGGGCAGACAGGATAAGTTCATCATGCAGAGATAATCACTTTCAAATACACACACACACACACACACACACACACACACACACCCCATTTATATTCTAGGCTTTATTCTTTTTAAAAAAAGTTGCTCCTGTGCTAAAAAGAAAAGAAAAGAAAAAGAAAAGGAAAGCTTGTATTTAAGGCAGAACATCAGACACAGAGACAACTCAGGACAGTAGGGATAGACAGGTCCCTGAAGTCAGGCAGATGTGGTACTATTGATAAGAAACGCAAGCCATCACCAGACTGCCACTACTCACCATTTACAAATAAAAAACTCCAACCAGCTCACAGGGCTGTCGTGGAGACTCTATTTGAAAATCACTTCCCACAACAACTGGGCTCATGCAAAGTGTAGAGAAGAGTGGGGCCCGAGAGCAAGACCAGGAAAGTATAAAAACCCCTGCGGCTTTGAATCAGAAAACCAAAGTTCATTTCCGTGTGTGTGTGTGTGTGTGTGTGTGTGTGTGTGTGTGTGTGTGTGTGCGTGTGCTTGTGTGTATGTGGGGGGAAGTTTGAACGAAATTCT